ATTTCATTTATTAGCTGTTTAGAAAAATATAATTTTTTTTAAGAGACCGACTTTCACAAACTTTGTCATCGATTACAAGTTTGCTTTCTTTGCATTGGGAAATTAACACTTCTGTGCATTCTGATTTATGTATTATAATTTTTTATTACAAAGATAATAAATATATGTTTTATATTATATAATACTTCGCTGTAAGATGCAGCAAAACAGAAATACAAAATTATACATAATGCTTACAACAAAGGATACATGATAATAATATTTTGGTACTTCTGGTTTGGTATTTCTCTTCTTTCATTAAATGCTTATTTATCACCTTATATTCCATTTTTTTTCTTATATTATACTTTATTGCTTTATCACTTTGTTTTGAGTGATGATTGCTTTGTAGATATTTTTCCTTCTCTTTATTTCCAACATTTCTGTTTTATTTAGGCATGTCTTTTGTGTTTTTCAATCCTGTTTGACAGTGTTTATATTTTCATAGATCATAGTTTATACCTTTTGCATCTACTGGGATTTCTGATAGGTCTGGGCATGTTTCTTCCACATTATGTCTCTGGTTAACCAGACCTTTTCTTGGCTTATTTTTCCTCCTTTTCTACTGCTTCTTCATTAAAAAAAAATCGATACAGTTCTAGTTCCTTTTTTTCCTCCTGCTGTTTTGGAAGCTATGGTTTTTGATCTGTTGTTTTAGTGGTAACCATTAATGAAATTTTTACCTATGCCTCTAACCATGTATTTTTCTCCCCATGTTTGTAGTTATTCAGTATTTCTGCCATCTTCCTATTCACAGTAAAGATCTTAGAAGAATGTTTTAATAATCCTTCTTCCCTGAATTTTCACCTAGTAATTGTCTAGAATTTTAGTTCCATTCTTTCTTAAGCACAAAAATTAGAGGGTTTTCTAAAGCAAAATTGCACAGTGTCTAGAATTGCAATTGTATTTTACCGTCATCTTAGCTTACATAGTTTCTTCTCCTTCTACCCTTTCTTCTGGGCACAAGCTATTTCTTACTGGGTTTATCCACTTGCAGTAACTGTTTCAGAAAAGATCTGAGTGGTAAACACTCTTAACATTTGTCTGTGTCTTTATTTTTGTCTTCATTTTAAAATGATTATCTAAGTTGTCTATAGAATTCCAGGCTTAGAGTTATTTTTCTCTCAGCCCTTTAAAGATACTGGTCCAGATGGTATCAGTTGTGCTGAGTAATCTCAGGTCAGCCTAATTGCCATTCTTCTTAAGGTAATTGATCTTTTCTTTCTACAAGGGTTTAAGATTTTCCTTTGTCTTTAATTTTCTATAGTTTAACCCAGTGTATCTAAGGATGAATGTATTTTTCTTCATCTGGCTTGACACTTGGTGTCAATTTCAACCTGAATATTCATGCTTTTTTTTTTTTTTCAATTTTGAAATTGATCAGCAATTTGTCCCTTTACATAGTACTTCTAGGCCATTCCCTCTATTTCATTTTTCTGGAACTTCTATTAGAAGTGTATTGGTTCCTGTCCATCTATACTTTATGTCTCTCGACTGTCCTTTAATACTTTTCATTTCTTTATTTCTCTGTCCTGCATTCTGTATATTTTAATGGTTATTTTAGTGGAAAGTTAGGAAAAGGGGGACCTTGATGCCTAGATATAAAATACAAAAGATGTCATTTTACCTAAAAATTCTGCTTTCTTATTTTAGCTACTACCTTTCAACCTTTTTTAAAAAAAAATTATGCCTTTTGTAAAGACATCAGAAATAGAGTTTGGTTCCTTTAAACAATACATTAGTCGATGTGCTAGCCCTCCAGATAGAAAGAGGTCTGAGTCATGGTCCCTGACACAAGGCTCAAGGTTTTCATTACCGAGTGTGGGACAAAGACATAAATAAATCATTCTAACAGCATCTGCGCAGCAAGTGCTGCAAGAGTGACATGTATAGGATGACCCAAGGTGAAAGCAAAGGGTATTTGGCTCTGTCTCGCTGGTCTGGGAAACTGGGAGGAGATGGTGCTTAAACTGGGCCTTAAGAAAAGAACAGCATTAGTGAAAGAGAGATGGGCTGAGTGGAACACTCTCAACCGCCACTTCCCTTACTCTCAGCCACGGAGATTGCCTTTGTGTTTGCTGAAAAAATAAGTTTCGTTTAGATCGTGGATGCCTCTTTTATGGCCTATGTGCCACTTTGTTCTGTTTCATGAGGCTGTCACCCCGCCACTCTGCATCTAAAGTATAATTCACACTACTCACTTGGCTTTCCTAGACACCTTGCATTTTAACTTAAATGACCATATACGCAGCACTATTTACAATAGCCAAGACATGGAAGCAACCTAAATGTCCATCAACAGGTGACTGGATAAAGAAGAGGTGGTATATTTACACAATGCAATACCATTCAGCCATAAAAAAGAACAAAATAATGCCATTGGCAGCAACATGGATGGACCTAGAGATTACCATACTGAGTGAAGTAAGTCAGACAGAGAAAAAAAAATACTATGTGGCATCACTTATAGGTGGAATCTAAAAAATGACAAATGAACTTATTTACAAATCAGAGAGAGACTCAAAGACATAGAAAATAAATTTAAGGTTACCAGAGGGGAATGAGGTGGGGAAGGATAAATTGGGGGTCCAGGATTTGCAGATTCTAATGATATATAAAATAGATAAACAACAAGGTCCTGCTGCATAGCACAGAGAACTGTATTCAATACTTTATAATGATCTATAACGAAAAAGAGCATAGAAAAAATATATG